ACCACCAAAACCCCCCCCCGCCCGCCGGTGGGGCTGGGGAATTCTGAGAGTTGAAGTCCACACATCTTAAAGTTGCCAAGTTTGAAAAACACTGGTGCAGAAGCACAAACATACTTAATGAGCAAGAGCAAGATTGATGTTCCAAAAGATACAGTGAGAAAATAAACTTCTATTTATTTATCAAGAGCAGCCAAACACTTTCAACCACAGCTGCCACAGCAGAGGAGAAAAAACAACAACTTTCTACTGAAGTTTTAAAGAACTAATTTTGCAAATCCGCACTCCCTTCTCTAGCCAAATTGTCAGACATCAACAAAAGTAACTTTGCAATCTCATGCTGATTACTCAGACTGAGTCCCGCTATGGTCAGTGGGTCTTATTCCCTGCAGCAATCCAGTGCCTTCCAGTTGACAGAACTGCAGTTCCATCAAGCCAAGGCAGCGTGGCCAATGACAAGGGTCTGGATCCCTCCGAGGGGACCTGTTTCAAGGTCATGCTGCTCCCCAAATGGTTCAGCTCAGGACTGGGAAGGCAGTGTGGAAGAATGTTCTGCCGAACCCTAGCAGTGTGCCACCCTTCTTAGGCTGAGGGCCACATCTGCAATTTAAGGAGAACGCCAGAGATTGCATCCCAAGCAACTTCAGATATGGCCAGGGGGAAAAACTGCCCGTGATTTAGTTTAAATTGAATTAACTTTCTATGATCGATCTTCATGCATTTAATGATCTTCCTCTCCTGTTCCGTTTGGAAGACCTGAGTGGTCACTAAGAATCAATACTAACTTGGTGGCCAATAATCAATTCATCAGTCTCTTGCATCAAAAACTGCAGTTCTCCGTAACTGACGTTTTGAGAGCTTTCAGGCTGTGCATCCCTGCCTTAAGCTAAAGATCAAGGAGCTTGTGCTGAAGGTAGAAACTAACACCGCACAACACTTCACAACATTCAAAAAATGTTCTTCAGAGTACACGGGGGCACAAATGTAACCCTGCTATAACCTTTTAAAGCAGCTGTGCAAAAATGTGGCTGCTTTAAAGAGCTGAAAGTTGGTCTTACTTTCACACTCACACATATGCCAAAGCATCTTTGGGAGATGAACCTGAAGGATTGTGCAGCCCTAGCAGGAAAGAAACATGGTGCTAATGGGGGGGGGGGCGTTTGAACAAGGAAGGGGGTTAATATTTTTGACAGCAATATTCTGCCGAAAACAATGTGGACTGAACTGTGATGTATTAAACAGCACTGTTACTAATTGCCTAATACACATATTATGCTACAGATGAACCCAATCTATGTTTGGGTTCTTCACTGGAGCAAAACTGAAACATTTAAACAGGCTGGATTGCACCTGGAAATTAAATTTTAAAAAATGATGCAGTCCACAAGCCATACAGGAATACATACTGTACATACATACATACACCAAGTAACAACACTGAAGATTTCAATATCAAGTAATTTAGTTTAAGACCGAAACCTTTATTACATAACAAATACCTTGACGTATGCTCTTCCTTCAAGTCCTCATTTCCAATGTTATCTTTAATTTTAAATGAAAAAGCCATGTCATCATAATGCTTGTAATATTAACATCCTAAACTGTAACTAGTATAGGCAGCACATCCACTTTTTCTTTCCTCTTCTCTACATTCAATACTCTAAGGTCCCTAAATAATAGAATGTTAAGAATTTAAGCATATTATATAAATAACATATTGTCTCAAGATTTATATTCAACACGATAAAAAGGGGGGGGAAAGAACTTAAAATAAAATAAGAAATAATTGTTTCCGGGTCCAATTCAAGGTGTTGGTTATTACCTTCAAAGCCCTGCATGGCACAGGACCAGGGTATCTGAGGAGCCGTCTCGCCCCCTTTATATCTGCCCGCCCCACTCGGTCTGGCAGAAGGGACATGTTGCAGACCCCACCGGTCAAGGAATTTCAGCTGGCGGGGTCTAGGCGGAGGGCCTTTTCTGCCGTGGCCCCCGCCCTGTGGAACAACC